GCTTTTAAAATTAAGAACAAGGAACTCTCAGCAAGTACAACAAATAGGAAAAAAAAACCCTTCAGTTTCATATTATGTGTAGTTAAAGAGGTGGGGTGGAGTAAAAAAAGAACAATGTGAGTTAAGAAAGAGTGGGAAGCAGACAGGCGAATTAGAAGGGACTAGAAGAGCTACATGGATAATAAACTATGTATATCCAGCAGGAGACTGAATTAGGGAAATAGGGGAGACAGATGACAGTTATAGATCATAACCAACTGTTCACTGGGTTACTGGATTCAGTGGTGAGCTGCTGTTCCCAGCTCTTCTCTGGTTCAATCCCTGAAGCTTCCCAACTCTCTATGTGGTGTGTGGCTTTTTTTTGTTGTTGTTGTTGTTACTAGTGATTGAACCTGGGGGACTTAACCACTAAACCACATCCCTACCCTTTTAATATTTTATTTAGAGACAGGGTCCTGCTGAATTGCTTACGGCCTTGCTGTTGCTGAGGCTGGCTTTGAACTTATGATCCTCCTGCCTCAGCCTTCTGAGTCACTGGGATTACAGATATGTGCCACCATGCCCAGCTCAGCTATAATTCTCTTTTTTTTAAATTAAAAAAATTTTAAGTTGTAGATGGACACAATATTTATGTAAATTTTTAAGTGGTGCTGAGGATCAAACCCAGTGTCTCACATGTATGAGGCAAGTGCTCTACCACTAAGCCACAACCCTAGCCCCTCAGCTATAATTCTTAATGAAAGGTGTATGTCAGGGTCACCTAGGTCCCTTCTAAAAAGTGCACATGGACTGAGGAGGGCACTTACCTAGCATGCACAAGGCTGTGGGTTTTATCCCCACCACCACCACCAAGTAAATAACTAACTAATTAAGTAACTAAATAAACAAATAAATGTGCAAGCCCTGTCTGATGGTGCCATATTGATTCCCTTGTCCTGGTGTTCAGCTCTTGGCCTAAAGGAAAAGTGGTGTCATTTTTCTTAAATACATCCATAGGATCACTGGGTTTAGAAAGGAGATCTCCAGAAAGATAAAACATTTTTCATTCAGACACTGCCTTCAAAAGCAGTCTCAAACACATAGAATGTCTTTCAAAAAATATGTGCATTTTGGTTCTCAAAATAAACCCTTTTGGGTGCTTAAAGTAGAAATACTCAAGGTTTTTTATTTTTATTTTTATCTTTGCAGTGCTGGGGTTGAATCCAGGGCTTCATGCAGACTAGGCAAATGCTCTGCCGCTGAACTACACCCCCAGCCCTGAAATATTCAGGTTTTAAAATAACTCAGGTTACTCGAGTTCTCAGAGATTCTTACCAGAACACAGAGCTGTAATTCCGTTTTCAAATGAACTATAACTCTTCCCCTCTTCCTTCTTGTATATCTCATCAGCAGTAACTGGGTTGTGGCACTGAATCCCCAGTAGCCTAAGTGTGTCTTGGGATTTAATTCACAAGTGTGTCTTGAACTGCATGTCTCAGGGCTTTTGGCAAAAATGGCAAATTACATTTTCAGGTAATGCTTCCAATAAATGCAGACAGAATAAGTGGTGCGCTTGAGGCTCTGTGGCCAAAAGTAGCATGTTGGAGTGAGAATTTTGTACTGAGAGGAAGATGACTTTGCAAGCTGAAGCAGCCAAGTACCTACTCTGTTGTTATTCTTTACCTGGGACAAGCTTTTCATCATGACACTAAGTCTTCCTGGGAAGATCTCTTAGATGAAAGTGCACTATTTTCTTTTCAGTTAGGTATTGCCAAAACACAGATGCTCTCCAGTGTTAAAGTATAAGCAGGTCTCCATAAAGTCCTCCTGAAGGCCTTGGTGGATATAAGATGGGTGGAGTGCCCTGGGCCATGCTGGGGCCTTTTATGTGTGCCAGTGTAAACGGTGCTGTCTGCTTTCAGCAGGTTACCAGTAAAACTTTTATTGCTTTTGCCCATTTTTGAAGGGTGTATCCTCAGTGTAAAATTCCTGTGGGTAGGCTTAAACCTCTCAATGTCTAACACCTAAACTGAAGAAAATGATTCTTTCCTGATGTCGTTTAATATTTTCTGACTTCAGGTTGTGTACACGCCCTCATGCATGTGCATATTAGGAGGGGAGATCTTTTTCCTTGAACTTAGAAGCCTATTTTCATAGTTTCAAATAAATGATCCTTTATTATATGTGTGAAGTCTGTTAAGATTTGGTGAACATAGATGACTTTCTAAACTCATAAATTGTTTTGCTTTGGAAATTCAATACATTTCAGAATGTAAACTTTGCAAGGAATAGAAAACCAATCTGTACTAGAATGAATTTTAGCCTGTGACAATCATTTTTTAAAAATATTTTTGTAGTTGTCAATGGACCTTTATTTTATTTATTTATATGTGGTGCTGAGAATCGAATCCAGTGCCTCACACATGCTAGGCAAGGGCTCTGCCAGTGAGTCACAACCCCAGCCAGTTGCCTGTAACAATCTTAAGAAAGTATCTACTCCCTTTTGTGAAGTAATTTACTTTAATTGCTAAGTTCTCATTCTGAGCATCCTGTTTAACTTTCTATGTGGGATATGAGTGTGATATTTATTATTTAATACAGCTACAGCACTATATGCTTGGAGTCCTTGATATTGTTTTATGTTCTTAACCCTGAAACCAAGAGACAACTGGGTATTTCCCTGTTAATTATGTGGCCTGGGCTAAAGTCCTACTGCAAAGTTGTTAAGCCAGAGAGGAGGGACTTTTATTTTGGTTGTAACAAAGGTGTGTCCATAAAACTGAGATTTAGTAACCGGTCTTTTACCAAGTCTTTTACCAAGGAGTTCTGAGATATTCTGTAACTTCATAGCTCTAAACAGTACATTTTTCTCATATATATAATTTTTTTGTGGGAGTGGAGAGTTAGTTGAATTAGCTGTTGACCAAAGTTTTCAGAAATGCCAAAAGAAACTTAGAAGTTTCTGGATAGGGAACTTATTCAAATATTAACCTTTAATATTGAATACTCATTGTTTCTAGAAGTAACATTTTCCCTACTTAAAAAAATTTATTCATTCTTTTTAGTTATACATGACAGCAGAGTCCATTTTGATAAAATTATTCAAGCATGGAATATATTTTATTCTAGTTAGGACCCCATTATTATGGATGTACAGGATTCATTGTATTTTCATATATGTACATGGGGAAACTGTTGGATTCATTCCTCTGTCTTTCCTTTTCCTGTCCCCCTCTATTCCTCATTCCCTATTATCTAATTTACTGCACTCCTATTCTCCTCCTGCCCTTATTGTGTTAGAAGTAAGAATGATGTGGAACACATATGATTTTATAATTATTTGCATAAGTACTGTTGGTAATCTGCTTATAATAAGTTGCCAAATTAATCTTTCCTGATATACCCTCACCCAGACACAGAGCTCCTTTGGCATCTATGTTAGGTGAAGGCCCAATTCGTGTAAGTACACACAACCAAGTGGCAATAATGGCCAGTTTATGTCCCATTTTGTTCCACATGGTCAGTGTTGTTTGAAAGATATGCTCTTCATTCTGTAACCCTTTATTTATTAAGCACACTTACCATTGACAGGTTTATATGTCTTCAGTAAACTCATTATTGAGATTTTCTTTAGGTGGAGCCTTGCTACATGTCCTAGGCTGGCCACAAAGTCCTGGGCACAAGTGACCCTTTTGCCTTTGTCTCCAAGTAGTTGGGACAACAGACATGCAGTACTGTACCTGGCTTAACATTTCTAAGATCTTGGTTCTTTTCAAATCGCTTTTGTCTTACATGGAGTATGGGTAGCAATAGCAGAAGGTATGGTCAAAGTGAATGTTTGTAAACATGTACAAAATTATACTATGCCAATTAGTGTTGTTTATTTTATTTTAATTTTGTGGTACTGAAGACTGAACCTGGGGAACTCTACCACTGAGCCACACCCCCAACCCTCTTTATTTATTTATTTTTAAATTTCGAGACAGGGTCTTTCTAAGTTGCTGAGGCTAGCCTCAAACTTGTGATCCTCCTACCTTAGCTTCCAAGTATCCAGGACTACAGGTATGCACCACCACACCACGTCCAGCTGTTGGGGCTGATTTTTGATTAGTTACTGTGAGGAGAGACTCATTGTCTCTTCAAAACACAATTTTTGTTTTGTGACAGGAGGAACAGTGAGGGAACTCTGGGGCATATAGAAAGAACCTGTCCAAACCTTTAGCTACAAACTATAAGCATAATGCAGTTGATGTAAAGGAGGGAGGTACTTCATGGCTTGGGCTGCTGTGAGGTGATGTGTCTTTGACATTTTCCTTGACTTTTAGGGCTGCATCACTATAGAAAGATTTGCATTTATTAGAATCTACTAGTCTATATTGGGATGAGTGGCTACACCATACAGAATTGTAAGATAGTCTTTAACATTTGTATAGATGCTGGGCAGAAATCTTGAAATCAAGGGCCATTTACTATCACCTCTTTGTGATTTATCATAGACTCAGATTATCCTGCTCAAATTCCTCTGTGCTGACAACTCCATGAAATGTACAAATCCCTTCACTTCCCCATTTTAACTTGTGCTCATATATTTGCTCAGTCTTTGTCTATTATCACATATTGTCTCTTTTGGAACATAAAACTCCAAAATCCAGAAAAACCGTGTCTCATTTTTGTATTTATATAGTATTTTTCATAAAATCTCAGCAAATACATAAAAGAGACTTTGATTGATAATGAATGCTGTTCCTTTTATTGGTCACACTGAGTGGTCTGTGGTTTATCCATCTCCCTGATTGGAAGGCTCTTGGGTCTTTTGGAGTGAGTTTTATTATATTGTTTTCAAGAAGGAAATAAATGCTTTTAGGCATCATGAGATTTTTTTCAATACACATGATATCTAGGCCTCTGCAGAAACCTCACAGACTGAAAAGCAGCAGCGTGAATGCACCTAAATCAAACCCTTCCCTCTTGGACTTGATGGATGATGATAGAGACTGACTGTCCTACTTTTGATCTTCCAGGTGATCATTTGAAGATCTGTCCCCAGGGTTATACCTGCTGCTCTCAAGAGATGGAGGAGAAGTACAGCCTGCAAAGTAAAGATGATTTCAAAAGTGTGGTCAGCGAACAGTGCAATCATTTGCAAGCCGTCTTTGCTTCCCGTTACAAGAAGTTTGATGGTATGTTATTCAAGTCACACTTAAGAGCTGACAGTTCAATTTGTATGATTGCTTTTTCAGAGCTCCTCTGTTCCCTTGGTGCTTAAGTTTTATCTCAAGATGGTCTTTTTGTTGGCTTCCAGGTGCAAGTAAGCCCTGCAGCTTTATTGCTAGAATCATTTTGGATGCACATGAATCTGTATAGTAGTCATGGTGGAAATACAGTCACAAGAAACCAAAAAATAGATTTCTTTAATTTAAATGCTTTATTTTCTTGGGTAAATACAGCATAGTGTTGGCGCAAGTCACTTATTAAAAAAAGAACTTCCTAATAAAAAGCAGGCATCTGAAAACTGTCAAAGTGGGCATAGAGAGTCTACAGATGCTGGTCTTCAAATTAAATGGATCCTCAAAGACAGGTAGGATTCTAGAAACTCTGCAGAACACAGGATTAAAGCTCAGCTCCTGAGTGTCCATGCAGAAGCAACCAAGAGGTGGTTACCATACTATGGTCTTCATTAAGCTAGGCTTCCTCCCCAGCTTCATTATTAGCAGGGGTCTGGCACACTCTTTCCATGGAAAGCCACAACAGAGCCCGTTCTAATCCCTTGTGCCAGACGTGGCTTCTCACAGGCACACTTTCCTTTAATAGTGAAAAAATATCCAATATGAGCCAAATGAGAGGTACTTCAATCTGATCTGAAGCAATGTTATAGAAACCAGACTTTTAAAAATAGAATATGAGGTCCAAAACACCTCAGGATTCTTTTCTTTGGTGCTACTCACTCAGTATGAAGATTGTTGTGAAGTAGATTTAATTTTAATAGGAATGATTTCCTTTGTGCCTGTTTTAAAGGCCATTCTAATTACATAGTACCTTTGAAGCATGCTTTTCTTGACATTATGTGTGGTGAAGAAGTACAAGGCAAATTTTCTGGATGTGAAATGTCTTTGAGTATTTCTGCAAAGGGCTCGTTACCATGGTGAGAAGTTAGACTAAATTAGATTTGATATAGCTGATAAGACAGTCCCCAGCTATAGAACAGGTTGTATTTCAAATGTTGGCTTTGAGATTCGTTATTTGAAACTTATAACTGATTTAATAAGTGTTAGTTAAATTTCCAGGCTAGACCACAACAGCACATTTAACCTATAATGTAGTTGAACTAAAATACTGTCTGTGTATTTTAGTATGTACCAGTGACCCTACTCATTTTCTCAAGCATACAAAAGTGTGCTTTTTATTAGTTCTATTTCCTTTCCCTGTATGGATGGTAGTAAATTTATATATCTTCCTTATCACTCCAGCCTCCCTACACATAGGCTGTGTGGAAATATCTTAATAACACCCATTTGAAAATGGGTGTTATTGGCAGAATACACTATTAGACCACTTCTATCTCTCGATCATGAAACTATTGTTAAATTATGTTGGGAAAAATGGTATGTACTTGCATTTCTCATTCAAGCTAATAACCTAAATGTTCTCTTTTATTCTGGGGAGCAAACTTGGATAATTAGATGGTCATCTTTGAAAAACTTGAGATTTAAAAATTACCAGTTGGAGGCTTCATAATGGAATTCAGAAGGAAACAAAAATCCTGCTCTTTAGAAATGGCTCTCCTCTTGGCAGCATGGTTCAGTAGAGATAAAGTTGTTTCCAAGTTCCAAGGACACCTTCTCCAAGTCACTCTATTTCTTGTTAGACATGTCTCTGGAGTGGAGCCCACAGTCCTAGCCTATGGGCCTGCTGGCTTAGCTATTCTTCCCCCATCTCCATAGTTTTATAGCACTACTCCTATGATTCCAATGTGTAGGGGTTTTTTTTGGAAAGCCATACAGAGAAACTATCAGTAAGTGTTAGCATATGTTTTTAAAAAGGACAGAAAAACGGTTTCTCTTGCCCTTTCTTACCATGCTTCACAGTTAACAAATATGTTAAAATTGTGCCTTTATCAGTTTTAGAACTTATCAAGAGAAATGATTATGAAACTTCAGTTTGTTTTTTCTGATTTCTAGTTAAAATATGGCATATCCAATAAATTTAATGAGCATTGTTTAAATTTTTTGACAGAGTCATTGCAGAAATGTGTTTGGTTTGGAGATCAGAACAGAGCTAGAATACTTCACACATTTTCTGGAAGTTAGATTTTTTGAGATGATAAAATAATTTTAAATGGTAAAACCTGACTGGCACCCAGCAAACCAAAATCCTCTCATGGGTGCTACATGGATTGACTGACTGATTTTTAAGACTGGCTATTAGGACTTGCCAACACTTCTCAAGGGTAAAGTTCTAGGAATGTTGAGTTCAATGCTTTAGGTATATCTTGACGGTCAGAAATCCAAGAGTGGGTGCTTTTGGTCAAAGAATTGTCTAAACTATTATAAAAGCCAAACCCCGGGTCTGTAATGTGAATTGTCTAAACTATTATAAAAGCCAAACCCCGGGTCTGTAATGGGAGAGGAAGTTGGGCAGACTAACAAGATGGCAGATGGGGAACCAAGATAGGGCAAAAGTTGCACAAAGCTGTAATGAGGAATCTGTAGTGAGGAAATAGCCAAAGGACACACAGAAACATATTAGATGAGACAACTTCAATGGAGAATCTGTAGTGATGTCTAACCTATGGTGTAATTCCAAGTGGTAACCCTGAGCTAAGACAACTTCCTATATCATCAAAATCTATCTATGCCTATGAGATAATCCTCCTTTCTAAGGCAAGAAAATTTTTTTTAAAAAAAATACATGTTTCAATAAAAATAAGGCTTATAGGCAATTAACCTTCTGTTTCTAGAAATCATCCCATTGCCCTAGTTTTCCATCAGTCTGCCTTCATTGACCCCATGCCAGTGTTCTTGTGTCAGCTTCTGGCATGTTTGATAGTCATTGGATTTGAGAAATATCTCTGAGTTTATTTTTTTTTGGTTTTATACTTTAAATTTTCTATTATTTGCAAATTATTAGGTTACTATACAGTCTACAAATCAGGTTTTAAATTATAAACCATGTATGTGTGTATATATGTTTAGACCTGGGTGAAGTACAAGGAAATGCTTCCTTTGGTAGTCCTCCTACCCCCGCAACCCAACAGAATTCTCAGATTTCTTATGTTCTAAATATGAACCTCTGAGTTTAAGGACTTGCTTAAATGTTTTTCTATATTATAAACTTTTTTTGTACACTGTTTACCTTAGCATGTTCATAAGCTGTAGACATATAGCCAGAACATGATAGTGACAGAGCTAACTGCTCCCCCTGTTGGCCAGTTCTGGGAATTTGTTTTTGATAGTAGAATTTCTAATTAGCATAGCTGAGTCAGTTGTCTCATGAATATGTTAATCAAATACTTAGTTCAGGAGGGTTAGGAAGAATTGCTTGGTAAAAGGAATAGAAATAGTAGAAGTGAGGCATAATCCATGTTTTGAACCACAGCAAAAGGACTCACCCCAAAATATCTGGGATTTTATAAGAGTAATTATTTTTTTAAAGTAGCATAATTAAATAAAAAACCTAAATAAGTTATGGTGATTAAAGTTGCTATATTTAAAATGTCTGAAATTTATGATAAAATGATATAACAACTATGAAGAGGTATTATTACTAAATATCTCCCTGAATCAAACTGTTTCCTAGATATTTTGCATGATAAAAGAAGAAAATAGAGATGTTGTCAGATACTAGTCTACTGGAGAAACTCTTTTTAATTTGTCATCAGAGCAAATTTAGCACCTTTGGATGGGTGGCAGAACACAATGGATTGTCAGACTGGTTCTGCAGTGAACCTTCTGCAACCTGGGGCAATTAACTGGGTCTCAGTTTTTCCATCCATAAAATGAGGGGGTTGAGCTAGATGCTCTCTAAAAACCCTTTCAATTCTAAAAATTCTCTCAATCTTTTAAACATGTAACTAGACCAGCTGCTTTAGTGAAAGGTCTTACAAGATGTTAATTAGCCATCTGTATGGTACCCTCTCTTTTTGCTCTATCGTTTCTTAACCCTCAGCTACTCTCACCAGGTCTTTGAAACCCTCCCATGAGCCTGCAGCTTGTTAACTTGAATAATAGTAGAAATTTTCTGAATTAGCTTAAAACACACATAAAAGAAATAATTGTCTATCCCATCTATCTACATGGGCTCTGTAAACCAGAGTGGTTACCCTTCTCTTAAGCCCTCAAGCCCGCCCCCATTGCCTATCATTTCACAGAGGCAGGGAATGAAGCACTCTTCAGACTTTTAGCTGAATGTATTTTAATTACTGATTGAATTTTTTTCTGTAGTTCATATTGGCCATTACTTCATTAAGCCAGTAGGAAACCCAGTGTGGGGGCTCAGTGAGTTGAAGGCATTTGAATTCATAGTCCTGTAAAAGTAAGGACCTCAGTGGAAATGAGGTGTCCGCTCACCTTAAAAGACAAAACATGTCCACCTAAGTAAGCTTCATGGTCACCAGCCAAACTAAAATTTGTGGAATTTTTCAGACCCCTGAACTTAAATATGTATTTTTAAGATGTATTATTATCCTTTGCACAGCTATAATTACTGAAGACCATCTGGGAGGTTTTTAGGTTGAAAAAATGTCTAAGATGTCCTCAAAATAAGTGTGTCATAGAAATGTATAGCATAACATGGATTGGTTGTTAATCTGTGCTTCAGATTTTGTTTATTAAGACTTTTTTGACTTGTTGCTTTTTTAAACCTCTGCTTTAGTGTAGTGAGCAGCATTTCACAGGCTGAGTAGTCACCAAAATACAGAGAAAGACATGAGGTTGCCTGGCCTCTCTGCAGATGCAGTGTTCCTTCCAGATCATGCTAATTCTCTTTAATTTAGTTGGAAAGTGCTGCTACTCTTTCCTTTACAATTCTATTTTCATTTCCTTCCATGTGAAAGAGACTAAAAAACAGTATTTTTGCTAATTCTTTTCTTTCTGTGAATCTTGATGAGAATGAGCCACTGCCAGCTTACTTTAATCAAATCAAGAGCTCAGACAACATGCACACATTTCTCTATTGACAAAGG